GAACAAGCTCACAAGAGGCACCTAGACGATAAAAACATCACAAAAATAAGAAAAAATCATCGGTCACCTAAACATTATCATAGCATGCTTTCTAGATTGCTATGCCTGGAGGAGAGTACTATTGACAAACACCATATCATGTTGTAGTAGACAACTCAATATGGTAAGGTTATAAGTAAAATAACAACAATATACATGCAATAATTTATGCACAAGCCATCAGGATCAAACCAAAAGCACAATTAAAGCCTTTGCATATCTTTCAACCAAAGCCCTAAAGGTATCTCTATAAAGCTTGACCAACCAAAGGTAATACAAAATATGTGAGATGAACAAGGTTGCATGAACGAGCCATAACTAATTGATAAGGTGTTAATGACATACACATGACCAGCCAAGTCCAAAGCATAAAATGTGGCCAATAACAACAAAAGATAGTAGCTAAATGCAATGAATACATTCCAATAATATCTCAAAGGGGCAACAAGATCCTGAAACAATATAACAAGGTGTACTTCATGTCGTTCAATCCAACTATCATGACCTAAAATCATACCATGATGACTTTTACGATAAACCCCTAGTAGACAATCCAAAACAAAAACAACATGTGATAAATTAAACTAGAAGTAACTAAAGTGGAAACAATAAAGACATAACATAAGGCCACAAAACATATGTGTGCATAATGGTACAAAATATACAATAAAGGCCCAAAAGTGACAAGAAATGATTAATATATGTTGAACCAAATCCCGAACCTGGTGTCACAAATGCAAGAAAGTCTAAGTACAGAAAGTACTATACACAACAGATCTATCTAATCAAAAAAACTAAATACATAAAATAAAGTACTATGCAAAAGAGGGATATCAAAAAGTCTTCCAATGTTAAGAGCACACCACGATCCAATAGTGAAGCCTTGGGAGATCTGGAATCAATAAGGGTGGCTCATACTAGGCATTGCATTAGAAAATGATGCAGAAGTACTTTATAAGTACCAAAACACAGCCACATAGTAGGCATCATAGGTCGACACAGCTCCTGTAGACACTATAAAAATATAAGTGGCATGATTGTGCTAACTCGATAAATTAATCAACAAACTAGAATCATACATATATGTGTACGAATACTGAAGATAACGACAACAAGAGATAGGTCACACTAACCATAGGTAAATCACATATAATGTGAGTTGATGCAATGCATATGCGGCCAATGCATAAAAGTAAAAAATCCTAGAATCTCTTTGCCAACGACTATATAAACTCCTCAAGACATTCTATAGACCCATGATAATGCTCAAATGTACTCTTTAAAATCAATTAAAAGCGATACCGATCGTAGTCAATAAAAATATCCAACTAAGAGTCAGGGTCGAATCCCACCAAAAATAGTATATCGTAGATAATTTTATCAAGAAATTTTGATTATAAAATTATTCATTTGGAGTAGTAAAAATAAGTGGGTGGATGATTCCACCAATTTTTTTATAAGAATTTGTTTATCAATTTTCACAATTAAACTAAAATTCTGGAAAATTCAAGAAGTAACAAGTAATATAGGGGTGCAAGGATAGGAAATCAATGTCACATAGGGGTAATTGTTCTACTATATGGTGATGAACATTCATGAATAGGCTAAGTCATCTTCAATGACGCTAATCTTCTTTCAATCTCATAGCATCCTTGCATAGAATCTCCTTTCGGTCTCGTCTATATGTCAATCTAAACAACCCAATGCCTTACTCTAGTCTCTCTTTTGATGCAGAAGTAGGGAAAATAGATATGACCCATAACCTTTATTTTCATGCAAGTTACAGATATCAAACATAAATTGCTAGTATCAGACTAATTACCCAGTCCAATAATCAACCTCTTTGAAGCATCGACCGGAGATCGGAAGTAGAAATTAAGTTTGCAACCTTAACCCATAATTTAACCCCATGCTAATTTTTCAAAATTCACGTATGAACAACAACAAAACAGAGCATAACATAATACCACTACATTAAATCAACACTCAACCCCATAATTGCAGCCCTCGATCCTGGGGTTTTAGCCACCTATCACAAAAAGCAAGTAACTTATACCTTTCATGAAATCAACCATGGGTAACATGAAATTAAGCAATTACAAGAAAACTCATTTTGGGTTCAATTTCAACAACAAAGTTGAAAATTCTGAAAAACTAGAAAGTGTTCTTCACAAGGTAAAGTGTTTTTTCTCTTTAAAATATTCAGAATTTTCTTACTAATTTTTGAACTCTCTTTAGGGCTATTTGTAGTTTCCCAGAATTTAGCCCAAAACTCGACATGCTACCCTTTGGGTGACATTAGTCACCCTCGCCGAGCTCATTCAGTGAATCCCCAATCATGTTTCAGCTCGCCTTCTCTTGATTTAGGCTTCAAGCGTTTGAACCTCAATCGGCGAGCTCGTTCGAGTCTTCCTTTCACATTCAGTGTATCATCGAGTACCACCTTAGCTAGCCTTTTGAGCCTTCGATTTTTCTCCTTGCACTGTCACTTTCCGCGATGGTCAACAAGGTTGCCCCTCTCATTTGGCAAGTGAATTGTGTACTAATAATATAAATTTAGTGTACTCAAATAAATAAGATAATTAATTTTTATAATTAATTTTTAAAAATGTTGACAAATTAATAATAAATATTAGTTAACTAACTATATTGAAATCGCGAGATAGACTAGGTATACCAATTTGGAGAAAACTTGCTTATAATTTAAAATCTGATTAGCTTTTATAAAATTCAAGAGTGGAGTAAATGCCTCAATTGAATACAGAATAGAAATATGACATGGTATCTCATTAGGAGAGAGGAGTATATTTTGAGGAAAATAGGAATAGTTAGATGATATTGTGTTCCTAAAAAAAACAATAGTGATATTATAGGACAAATTCTCAAACATGAATGACTATCTAAGGATTTTACTCCTTTTATTTTTCTCTTCTTTCTCGTCTCTTTTCTATTTTTCTTCTTCTTTCTACTTTGTTCTTGTATTTTTTTTCTTTCCTACACAAACATATTAGATGGTTAGGAATCATATACATGTGAAAGTACCGGATGCCACAAGGTGATAAATCCATACTGATACACAGAGAGAAATTTCATATTCCTATAGTTTATAAGAGACAAAAAAAGGGGATGTGCCTAATGTGGCATGAAAACAACTAATATGGCATAACATTGATGAATTTAGACAAATTTTCATTCTATGAATCTAACTATATGGTAGATTGAGGACTAAAGATGTGCTCATCAAATGTGGAATGCCTATTACAACTACTTATGTATTATGTTCTAATGCAGCAAAAACTACTAATAATTGATTGACATCACTAGAATATATTAATATTGAATTTGGAGGCTTAATGGCAATGTCAATGTGTGAAGCAAGAATTCAAATATATGTTAGACTGATAAAGTGTATAGATACAGTTTAGTGATTGGTACTTTTGTGTTTTAGTCTGCTGGGAAGGGTAGATTAGGATTATTATATGACTTTTCTTAATATAAGTCATAATTTTATTCAACAGAGGATATAATAAAGCATATTATTGCTACTAATGACTTGAATATGCTAAACTTTATTATAAAAAGAAAAAATTATTACCTGTTAAATTCAAAATTTGTACTCCAATGACTTCATTGAACAAAATTTGTTTAATTTTTCAGAAATTGAAATTTATAAAATGGTAGATTTGTAATTTTTTAAATTTTTTTAAATAGATCAATTTTATTATTCTATTCATTTTATTCTGCGTAAAGAAATTTGAGTAAATTAATAAAATTCGCACTGATTAGCATATTCAAATGCGGATTCAAGTCATTAACAATAATTATATGCTTAATCTTATCCTCAATTGAATAAAATTAAGATTTATATCCTCTTTTTTCATTAATTTTATTTTGAATCGTTAACATTATTGTTCTTTTCATGAGAGTATTTTGAAGAAAAAAGGACGGGGATAGAGAAACAACTTAAAAAATGAGTTAAAGATTTAATTTCCCAAAAATTACCGTTAATATAAACCTAAGTTATTTGTATTAAAAAATTGGACAAAGACCAAATATGATAAGTTTTTGAATACTTTAAGGACTAAAATCGGTAAGTTTATAGTTGAGAGACTAAAACCAGTAAGTGGATAGTTAAGGGACCTTAAAGGACTAAATATGTTAATTGTATAGTTAAGAAATCATTTTAGACCTACTCCTATAATTAAAGAACTATTTATGTCATTTTCTCTCTCTTGATAATTAATAAAGTTTGTTAATCGCCAAAAAAATATATTTCTTCTTGTTATTGATTATTGATTCTCTTCAAGATTTCATCTTTATGAGCCTTTTGATACTAAACCCCTTTTATAAAAACAAAACATTCAAGGGGCACTTTTAATTGACGAAACATAATCTTGTGTAGACGTGACAAAACAATATACTAGTAATAATACTGGGTCTGAAAAATACTTAAGTAGGTAGAAAACAGTAGATTAGGTAGGCAAAGGGGATGAAATATTGAAAGCGAAAGGAAAGGGTGATCTGGTTATCAAATCATATTTTAAACAGATATGATTTTCCTTTTTTTTAATTATACCCTGTTCTTGACACTTTAAAGTGGGGCTTTTTTTTAAGAAAGAAAAAAATCAGAGAGAATCAAGAAATGGATACATAAAGTGATTTATTATGATTGTAAATTATTAATATTAGAAAGTAGAAAACACTTTATTGAGAAAAAAAGTATTTAAGTATATAGTTTCCGTGCACATTAAGGAGGACACGATATTGTTCTCCCCCAAATCGGAGTCAACTAATTCATATGTGCATGCGTCCCACTCCATCGCAAGGGGGCCATACAGTTAGTAGTTGGCATTAAAAGGGAAATTGCCCGCCATCCTGCATTTAATTCTACTTTTACTTTCTTCATACCCTCTCTCTGTTTTGATTTGATTTGATTCAATTTTCATCCCCCCAAACAAGAATGGACGTGGAAGACCACAAATCCCCTACTTCTATGTCTAACAGATCCTCCAACAAGAAAAGAGCAAGAAATTGCTGCTTCATCTGCCTCGCTCTCCTTCTCCTTCTAGGGCTTCTCTTACTCATCTTGGGCTTAACAGTTTTCAAAACCAAAAAGCCTGTCACGACAGTAGATGCCGTTTCCCTAGATGATTTGGATGTTTCATTTGACATCGCTCGACTCCAAGTTCACCTCAATGTCACCGTTAAAGCCGATCTCTCTGTCCAAAATCCCAACCGGGTCAGCTTCAAATACGACACCACATCTGCTCTACTCCAGTACAAGGGACAAGTTATCGGAGATGCCCCTCTTTTGGCCAGCAAAATTGGCTCCCGTCAAACGCATCCAATGAATATTTCCCTCACCGTCATGGCCGATCGATTACTTTCCGACTCCAGTTTGTATTCCGATGTTATGGCCGGTGCGTTACATCTCACAACTTACGTCAAATTGTCTGGGGTTGTCCATCTTCTATTCAAGATTCGTGTCAAGACTTCCTCTACCTGCGATTTGTTCATCGATGTTCTTAACAGGAGGCTCCTTAATCAGACTTGTCATTATAAGACGAAGCTGTGATTTGTTTTATTTGTTTTCTCTTCTGTATGTAAGTATCCTTGTCCCACACTTAGATTCGATTCGATTTCGATTTCAGAATACTACTACTATCATTTTTATTAGATCCCACTTAATATATATACAAATATCTTGTCCTCTATATTTGCTTTCTACACTTTCTCTCTACTACATTTGTGTTTATCAAATACAATTTTGTCGTAGATTTTTAAAAAATCATGTTTTTCTCAGGAAGAACTATTGGGATAGGTTACACACAAAAAGGCAAGTGTTATCTAGCTAGTGTAATACAGGTGAGGAAATTAAGTTTGCAGTACAGTTGCTCTTTGTTTCATCTGGTCTTGAACCAAAGTAGACAATAATGGAGTTAGTGACAACATGTAATTCTCATTCATTCATTTTGTCGTACTGCAACTCAGAATCTTTTATTAAGTAAAATGGTTCTTCTGCGAATTTTGTACTTGAAATGTTTTTGTTGGAAATTAGAGATCCTTGTTTGTACCACCATAATAAAATCTGTTGAAGTTTAGCTACTCCTAAAAGTGGTTGTCATACTCAACCCTGAGCCCCTTTGATGACCAAGAATTAAAATGAGAATAGGTCGAGTGCTTCTTATCAAGGACAGGACCTGGTTTAACAGGCATATTGGGAAGCTTTGCTATTAACTTGATGCAATTTCATCAGTTTTGTCTTTCACTGTCATATACAGCAGAGAGTACAATAAAACTTGTTGAGCTTCATTTTACAAAAGGATTGGATGTTAGTTTCAAGTTGAAGTGAAGTGTATCTGCTATGAAAAATGAAATGGAGATGCTTCTTTGAATGAGCTGTAACATTTTTAACTCAGAAACCAGGGAGTGAACTCGCGGCATATGTGTCTGCCATGAAATAAACTGGGAGCTGCAAAGCAAAATCTGACAGAAACAATCATGGAAAGTGTACATTCTATAGATGGAGTTATTTCTTTCAAGTGTAACGTGATTTCGATCTCCTATTATTAAACAAATTGAATTGCTTTATGTTCCTGAGTTATCATGTTAGACACAACTTATCTCAAACATGTAACAATGGACTGAAACATATGAACAAACAAGTCGTGGGAAGACAAGGCAGCTTCTTAGATGTCTGTATTCGAGTACTTTTAATTCTTGCAGTTCCTCTGTTGTCAATTAAGAGCAAGATAAAAAGCAAAACACATCAAAGTTTATGAATACAGGTGTTTCTGATTATTTAGGTAAATTTGACGATGCCCTTTCATCAGCCATGAGCCCACGAGCCTGATATAATAGCAATATCATGCTTTGTATCACAAATCCTCTTGCCACCATAGAGACCACCACTGATTGGTCCGTCGAGCCATTAACGTGTAGCAGAATGTAGAACAGATTGATATTTCAATTCCAAGTTTCCAACTACCAAAGGGTGTGCTTGTCGCTTGTCGCTTGTTCGTTTGGCTGGGAACAGGTTATTTCGGGATTGGTTATCCCGAGATAAATTATCCCACCATGTATATGAAATAACTTATCTCATCATTAAGGTAAAAATGATGAGATAGATAGATCAAGAATACCTAATAGCTCCAACCAAACGCAAGATAAAATAATCCTCCATTTTACCCAGGATTATTACTATAGTCAAATGTCAAATAGTTGGGTCCTTATAAGTAAAGATTTTACTATATCCTCATCAATTATTTTATTTTTATTTTACAAAAGTACGATATGGTGGTCTTTTTCCTTTGTTTTGGTTCCCTTTCAGCCCTAAAAGAAAGTTTTTGTCCATTCCATTTTTCTTCATTGGCACCAATCAGAAAGAAAAGCCATATTTTTGCCCATTTGGTTGAAAGCTACACAGCACCAGAAGCAAGAAAATGAAAAGGCGCAGAAGTCAACATAGATATGAGGTTTGTTCCTTTCATTTTCAAAGCACTTTTTAGGCCATTGGAATTGGAGTGTTGCTGCTGGTACAGTGTGTGTTACATTGGAGGACCCTTTGAATCCCAGCAGTCAATTTATCTGACTCCCATCTCCTTCCTTGCTAACAGCTCAGGACAACCTTACGCTCTTAACGCACTTAATTTCCTAACATAAAATTGGAACTTTTCTTAACCTGTTAATTAAAGACCAAGAGAACAAGTTCCAATTGAGTGAACTTATCAGCTTCCAGTTCTATTCTGAATCTGGCTTCTACTGTTCTCATTTGGTACTATTAGACAGACCACATCGAAATGGCAGGAGATCAACCTAAATTTCATTGGGGATAGACACAAGAATAGAAGCTGGTGGACTGTGCTGTGTCTGCTGTCGTCTTTCTTGCCATCTTCTTCATACTCTATTAATATTGGCATTGACCATATTCAGGATTAAGTTACCTCGCATTAAAATGGCATCCAAGTATTTTCCATACATATCTACTGGTCTGCTCTACAAATAAAACTGAACATTACCTTGGACCTTAAGATTCAGCTTGAAAACCCAAGTAAAGCCAGCTTCAGGCATATGGCAGGCAAAAGACGACTGCACGCTCCACACCTAACAAGTTTTGAGGTATTTATGTGTGTTTGGGATGCAATTTTCTGCAAGGCTATGTAGTACTGGTTCTTAAATTCATTGGGGTAGACACCGTTTATGAAGCCTGAGATTCTTAAGCTAAATAGTCTGATATCGTGCATTATCAAGGAAGTGATGAGATGCCAACTGGACTGAAATTTATGTAAAGACCAGCTTGAGCAAAGTCAGTTTATGAAACATTTCTCCACTAACAATCATTGATCATCATTAGACATAAAGTTCATGGAAGTACCAAAATGGCCACCAATCAACTATCAAATTAAATAGAGACTTTTGTCCACATCAGAAGTTGCAACAAAAGCCTATACATTATACTGATACAAGAGTACAGTCACTCAATACTGATTAAATTCTACATAATTAGTACATAAAACTCCTAGAATTAAAAGTAGCAGTCATGATTTCAACAACCTAAACACTATGTTAATGCTCTATGACATCCAAGTTCGAGGTTAGCCACCACACTGAAAATGAGTGAGGTTGTCATGTACTAGAATCAATCTCCGGCAGAGAACCCATATTCCTTCACATAGTTGCAACATAAATATAATCAAAATATAAGCTTTTTGCATAATCCTTTGTCAATTCTTTTATAACGACTTGCAGGCTTCATAGGAGCACCAGGGCAAGTATCAGAAACTCCACTAAGGTGAGGTGCATAGGTAGGTGTCTTGTATCCATCAGAATCTGAAAGTGGAGTTGAGGCTTTCGAATGATGATCCTCATTCTGTTCTGAGGTAATAACTTGTAGGAGAGAATTGTACAACATTTCAAATAACATCTCATCCTCAGACACCGTTCCCACATTGTCCAAGTGATCAACATTTTCATTGAAATTCAAAGTCTCCTCAAAGTTAAGCTGACGTGTCACTTTGGCTCGTGAATCTGTAAAATACTTTTTACATTGTGGGGCAAGCATTAGTTCATCTGGTCCAGGAGCAAATGGATCAAACCCAAACCCCTTGGGAGTCTGTCGACTTCCTTCATTTGTATAAACCATGTCACCAAAAAGTTGAGAATTAAAGCAATAACGAGTCCTGTGAAGAGAAGACCAAACTGGTGAACAACACCCATCTACGTGGTCGCCACCTTCTTGGGTGGAATCAGGTGTGATTGGACCTAGAGGATCAGATGGCAATTCTGCTCTTGGAGACTGATCACCACATCCCTTCAATTTCTTAACAATGGAGTAGTGAGACAAACTTTCTTCCTTATTTCCATCAGAACCAACATGAGTACTGTCCATTATTCCTGCACTATTCACTAATAAAGATACGAGTTTTGATATGAAAAATATGGTCAATGCAAGGTTAAAGTGTAAATAGGTAATTGGAGGATTTAGCAATTTATCTACAATCATATAACTTGTTATCACATGACCACCAACACATGTGTAGTATGTCTGAAAGTCTATGACTAAAACCAAACCTCTACTGCTAGCAATCAAAAGAAAAATGTAGTATTTCTTGTTGAGTCCTTCATACAAAAAGCTTTATTTCGTTATTCTATATTGACAAGTAAGCGCCCGCCGGTTGAGGAGAATAGATATAGGAAAATTCCATGTTGAAAGCTACTACTAGAAAAGCTAATCTGACGAGTTCATCCTTGAATAAATTGGGGGCTTGGCCGACTGCCCTAACCTGGAGATCAATTTTAGGTTTTTGCAACACTACTAGGGCAAAGCCCTAACTAAATCAAAGGAAAAGGAGAAACCAATACAAGTGTATATTGCAGATCGACTGAAATGAGCAACTAAAGAATGCAAAGTTTTACCTCAAACAGCAACAAAAGATCTATACACACCGCAAGCCGGAAATGTAGTAGGAGATCCCCTTCTACACAAAATCAACTAGAGGTACCATTAATTCTCAAAATTAAATATTGTAGTAACAAGTTTGACCAGTCAACATCAATATCCACTTCAAAAATTGGGAATAAGAGGCACTTCAATTTTGTTATTTGAATGTAGTAGGAGATCCCCTTCTACACAAAATCAACTAGAGGTACCATTAATTCTCAAAATTAAATATTGTAGTAACAAGTTTGACCAGTCAACATCAATATCCACTTCAAAAATTGGGAATAAGAGGCACTTCAATTTTGTTATTTGCTAAGCATTTGGACATGCGATATGAAATCACCGTTTGTACATGTTATTCTCCAAAAATCATGATTTTGGCTTTTTCAAATATAAAAATTGATTCACAAATTTATATTTTGTGAAAAAAACAACTCCACATTTATAAATACTTACCATTTATTTCTTATGTAAAATAAAATTTATAATTCATATCATTAGTTTTTAAACCGGAAAAGGGTCAAAACTGTCTTTTAACATATTGAAAATGGCTCAAAAATGTCATCCTCCACCTATTTGATTAAAATAAATGCCCTATTTAAGCTTAAAATTACCCTTTCTTTTAAGAGAAGCTGATGTGCCATAAATTAATTTTGTAATTAAATATATAACATTATTTTTATTGGTCCACAGGTAATTAATTAGACCATAAATCATTATCCACTAACCCAAACCCATCTCAAAGGCCCAACACTTCTTCATCTTCCTTTCCAATTCATCCAGCATTAAGGAATATTCTCAGCCATTTCCATGGTGTCGTCACTTTTCTTGCTCCTGACATCGCCTCCTTTCTTGCTCTGACATCACCAGCTCAGTCAGAGCAAGAATTATCATCTGATTTTTTTTTGTGAAACTAAAAGCGATTTATTGGAGATAACTTTAAATCGGGTCTATCTTTATTTTCTTCAAACAAATTTGCTTTAGAGATTTCCAAGTTAGCTTCTATTTTTTTATAGTTTGGTGATGAGTTAAATGATCATGAAAATCCTGAAGATGAAAATGGAGATGACCATTATGATAATGAAGAAGGGGAAATTGTGGGTATTAGGGATGAGGTTTCCACTCTCTCTGACCAGTGGTATTTCTAAATATGAAGAAGGCTGTCTTTTATAAATGGATTGGGTTAATGATATGATTGTGAATGAAATTAGATATAATTAATTATAGATGGACCAATAAAAATAATGTCACATATTTAATTATATAATTTATTTATGCCACATTAACTTCTGTTAAAAGGAAGGGTAACTTTAGACTTAAATTTAACCTTAAGGACATTGTTTATCCAAATAGGTGGATGGAGGGCATTTTTTATCCAATAGATGAAAAAAGGGAATTTTTAAACCATTTTTAATACGTTAAGGGCATTTTCGACCCTTCTCTCATTTTTAAACCATTTACATCTCATATAATGATTATTCTCACTTACATAGAATTTATTAATACTTCAAATCAATTTCTACTTTACCATTTATATTCACCAAATTCATTATTTTTTTTATCAAATTTACTTACCAACAAATGGCTTAAAGTAACAATGTTGGTTCGTCTTCTTAGTATATGACCAAGAAATGCAAGTTGAATGTGAGAAAATTGCATGTACAATGTGGGATGACTATATTAAAGACTAGAACACCACAATTTATATATGTTAAAAAAAAATATTGAATTAAAGTTTGATCAATAAATATTGTATTTTTTAAGAATATCTTTGTGATGGTGTATTATGAGACTTCATAAGGTTTTGTTTATTTGGTAAGATTCTATAAAGAATTGAGACAATTTTAATAGTTTTACAACTTATGGGTTTTTTATGTTTATAAGAAAACATACGATATAAAAGTTCAAATTACAAAACTTCAACTTCATCTCATGATTTCATTTCACATGGTCAGAAGGGCCTTTAGAGTTTATATTTCACTTGTTATAAAAGTGGCTCATATATACTTACTGTCATACAAATAGTTCACAGATATTGTAACATCTCGGAAGTTGAAAAGAAAAGTTGCAGAAAAATTATTGAGCTAGTGATTCTACGAGTCCTACCTAGGGACCGTAGGAAGTGAATCATAGGACCCAAAGTTGAGTTTTGGAAAATTAAGTTTTTGAAATTTGACTTACGACTTGACATGACAAACCATATGAAGTTTGACGGGTTGTTGGATCTATAGGGTTGATTTAGAGAAATTGATTGAGACATCAGTCTACGAGAAAGGATTTACACGTCATCGTGTGTTTTACGGGTCAGAGGATGGTCTCGTAGAATTGATCTAGACTTAGTGAAATTTTAGAGCTAAACTTTTGTTCTACAGATGGGGTCTACAGACCGTAGAAAATTCAAGGGATCGTAGAAGTGTCTCGTGAAATGATTGAATTTTTGGATGTCTGAAGGTTGTTCTATGGTTGACCAGGACGGGCCGTAGGGATTCTTATGAGTCGTAGGTCCCAACCGTATGATTGTTCACCAGTAAATTCTTAAGGGTATTTAGGTTTTTTCCTATGAATCTAATACTTATACCATGTTGTTTTGATCATTATTTTAAGTCCTATAACTACCCTTTCACCCTTTAAACTTCCCTAACACCCCCATTCACTCAAATCCCCAAATCTCATCTACATTTATCCCCTTCAATTATCTCTCAAGGTCAAGGAAGAAGAAGATAGGGTTTTCAAATCAACTCTCATTTTCACCATTGCTTATGGGCTTTGATCCTCAAGGTATATATGGTTTCATCAATGTGTTTCATTCACCCAGTGATCCCCAAATTTTCTCAATTTTCTAAGTCAAATTGATTAGGTTTTATTCCATTCTCCATTGTTCAATTGTGTTGATTCAATTGTTCAATTTTGATTTTATTATAATTGTTTTGACTAAATTACCTACTTTTCAATTATTTTCACATGAACCCGTGCATTGATCATGATTTTGACCATGAATCCTAAAAGACATGAATTTATGAAGAAACTATGAATCTACAAATGATGTTTTCATGAAGTTATACATGATTTATGAAAAGGAATATTTTATGACCTAGGTTGCTTTAATATGAGCATTAATGAAATATTTTCTCATATATTAAGGAATCATGGCTTGGTGAAAATTTTTCTCACATATGCTTGATTCAAGATTTAATGAGCTACTCTATGATGTTTAATCTTGGATTAAAATTTGAATTGTACTTTTTCATGTATGATGATAAGTTTATGAAAATAACTATTTCGTTGGGATTTAACTTAGCACTTAGAGAACTTTGAGGTGGAGGCTCAAATAGGGTAGTCTCTAGTAGCAATCTTTAGTTCAAAACTACGTGTCCCTGTAGGTTTGTCTTAACTGATCTAGCTAGTGGATCCACATATAGCATATGATAAGATACGGAGTTCTATCTTTTCAAGTAGACTCTCTCTTCTCGATGTGGGAGTTAAATCGAATTTCATGTTATAGTTTGCATCTTCTATTGTCGGTCAAAGCTAATATCCCACAAAATGAACGAATTTGTCCTTCATGATTTTATAAAGGTTTTCATATGATTTTTAGATACATTAAACATGTTTCATGATTTATGATGTCTCTTTAAAGGATTTACTAGGCTTAGCTTTGTTATGCATACCATATTTTTTATTATGTCCCCTTAATGATCATGTTTCATGTTTTCATGCATATCTCTCATACTTAGTACATTCTATGTACTAATGCATATTTGTGTCTACATTGTTTCACTAATGTAGGGTGTGATGCTTCCTCTCCTTTCGCTCGTGACGAGTTGATAGCTTTAAGGAATTGAAGATTTGGTGAGTCCCCACATTTCGAGGACCATGTCACATTTATTGCTTTCATATGTCTTTACTTTTTAGATATTGTATGTGGTGTACGGGTTACGTCCCGACCAATTATTTTGATGTAATAGATGTCTTGTCAGGACTATGATTGGACTTCCGTATTATGTCAAAAATCTTTTATTTATATGGGATTATTTACCCTTATTTCTCGTATTTTCTATTATGTTGTTTTGAATGCATGTCAAGTGGCATGTGTAGGACCTCTCGGGGTCTTATACACCATGTCATGTCTAGGGTGTATTTGAGTCGTGACATATTCCGTTATTGTTACAAAAGTGGCTCACATATACCCTTCATATAACGGAAGTGAAATTTTTATTTTTAATTTTAAAAAATTCATGTAGAGGTAGATATGATCTTTCTAGCAAAGTTCAAGGTATATCTTAATATTTTTCACACATAAATTATTTTTGACTTCTTTGATTATCATTATTTGAGTTGGGAGTTAAGGAGAACCTCTCATATGAAGAAGTTTTGATTGAGATTTTAGACCGGCAAGTTAAGAAGTTGAGTAATAAAGATGTTGCTTCCGTGAAATTGTTGTGGAGGAA